ATCTGAATGAACCAATTCAAAAGGACTAGCAACACGATTATGAACTTTAGGTTTGAAGGACACACGACAATGCTTACTAAGCTGACATGCTTCACAAGACAATGACTCAACACGACTAAGACCGGGGACTTGATGCTGTAAAACGGATAATGATGGGTGGCCAAGACGACAGTGCCACTGGAAGGAAGACAAGGATGACTGAAGAGCCATGGGAGATGGGTCAAAATCAAGGTAATACAAGCCACCAACTTCATGTCCCGTACCAATCTTCTTCTTCATGTGGGATAAAATGTAATGGAGTAATGAAGAGATTTAGTAATTTTACTAATAAACAGCAAATTAAAAGGAAATTGGGGAACATATAAAGACAGAGGAGAGAGACAAAGAAGATGTGAGATGAGTGGTTCCTAAACCCAAAATTTTATTGGACGAGCCATTAGTAAGAGTAACATTTTGAGATGAAGGAGCAGAATGAAAATCAGATAAGAGATGATAGCTACTAGTTATGTGATTAGATGCTCCAGAGTGAAGAATCCAGGGATTCGAACGAGAGGACAAGAGATATGCAGGCGCACTTCCGAATTGGGCAAATGAAACTATGGAAGATGGGGTAGAAGTCTGTTGTTGAGACATAAGCTGAGCATACTCATCACGGGGAATCGTGACCATGGAAGGCTCAACAGCCAAGTGTGAAGCAGTTGGTGTCGCAGAGAAAGAAGAATCCCCTTCAGTAGAGGTCACTTGATGTGCAAAGGTAGAAGGTGACGGTTTCCCATGAAGAGCCCAACAGTAATTGGCGGTGTGATTAGTAAGACCACAGTGAGTTCAGATTCTAGAGTCTTTACCTCTGCCACGATCACGGCCACGGCCACGGCCACGACTACGGGTAAAACGACCACCACCTCCATGAAAAGATTGAAAGCCACTCTGGGAGACAACCAAAGCAGAACGTTCACTACTAGGAGGAGCAGGAACATCGCTTGAAGTACCCCCTGAAGCTCCACTAAATAGAGTAGCACGCTGAAGTCTGGAAAACATATCAGGAAAAGAGGGAAGTGTAGAACTACCCAAAATCTGTGCCCGAACGGGTTCATACTCTTGTGACAACCCTGTGAGAACACGGACAACATTAAAATACTCACGTTGTTGTTGCACACTCTTTACATCAGAGGTGATGGGCTGATACAAACTAAAGAGAAAGAGAGCATAGTTGTTAAAGGCGCGCCTAGGCTCCAAAAAGGCCCCAGGCTCGTCAAGGCTCAGTCAGAGCGCCTCAACCTACCACAGGCCATGCCCCTTCAATCAGGCTCACATAAAGCCCTCAGGCTCACGCTTTTTAGTAAGCTCCAGGCTAAAAAAAAAGGCGCACCTCGTATTTTTTAATCATTTATTCATATCATTTTCTTTTTTATTTATTGACTACTAAATTAAAAGGTTCTATATCATATACCATATTGTTTAACCTTATGAAATATTTGACAAAATTCATAAATTTATGGATCACTACTTACATTAATTGCAATTATAGCTTGATTATGAGTATATATATAATAATATATGCATTATAATATACACGCGCCTTACTTCGATCAAGCTTGCGCCTTATACTGCACCTTGCGCTTAGGCTCCAGGAGGCTCTTGGCGCCTTAGTGCGCCTTGAGCCTTTAACAACTATGAAAGAGAGAGAAAACAATGGAGGCGTAGTCCCTCTTTTTCCTTCAGTTGTCAATCTCATAAGCCCTAATACATAAGGGGCTTATATACAAGAGAAAGTGTTACTTATTTACACACTAACCTCACATATTATAGAGAATTACATAACACCCCCAACTATATATATAATTACATTCTAATAAAAACAAAGCCCCAGGTTTCAGTGGCTTCTCCATGAGATTCCTTTTGAGAGTTGGGAGGTGGTTAGGGGGGAGGTGATGGGTACCTTTCACGCTTTTCATGCTCATGGTTGTTTTGAGAAGAGTTTGAATGCTACTTTTATTGTTCTTATTCCAAAGAAGGGGGAGGGGGGCATTGGATGTTCGGGATTTTTGACCTATTAGTTTGGTGGGAAGCATTTACAAGTTAATTGCCAAAGTCCTTGCTTTTAAATTGAGGAGTCTTGGACGGGGTCATTTCTGACTCTCAAAATCCCTTTGTTGAGGCTGTCAGATTTTGGATTCAGCCCTTATCGCTAGTGAACGTGTGGATTCTAGATTGTGCAGTGCGGTTTCTGGTGTTCTTTGCAAATTGGACATTGAGAAGGTGTATAATCACGTGAGTTGGAGCTTGAGAGGATGGGGTTTGGTGAGAGATGGAGGAGATGGATACAGTTTTTCATTTCCAGTGCTCATTTTTCCGTTGTAGTGAATGGAGCTCTGAGACAGGGGAATCCGCTCTCTCCTTTTTTGATACTTATTGTGATGGAGGCCCTTGTAGATTGATGAGGAGGGCTGTTGACTTGGGTTTTCTGAGAGGCTTTAGGGTGGCTAGGGATGCAACTAGTCAGTTGGAGATCTCTGACTTGATGTCTGCGGATGACACTTTAGTGTTTTGTGAGAGGTTTTATGGTGGAGATCGCGACATTAGCATATAATCTTGGGTGCAACATTGGTTTGTTTCCCATCTTTTATTTGGGTTTACCCCTTGGGTCATCCCCGAGGAAAGTGGGTAATTGGGATCCTGTGGTGGAGAGATTTGAGAAGAGCTTGGCGGGATGGAAATCTTTCTAAGGGTGGAAGGGTCACTCTGATGAAGAGCACCCTTTCAAGCCTCTTTACATATTTCCTGTCTTTGTTTCAAATCCCCTTTTTTGTGGCTGAGAGGATTGAGAGGTTGCAGTGGAATTTTCTTTGGGGGGCTTGGGGGAGGAGTTCAAGTTCCATTTGGTTCGCTGGGAACATGTATGTAGTCCGATTTGGGTCAAAGGCTTGGGAATTAGAAGATTGGCGTCTTTCAATAAGACTCTCCTTGGGAAGTAACTTTGGAGATTTTGGTTGAGAGGCATAGGCTATGGAGGATGGTGGTTGCGAGTAGATTTGGGGAGGGGATAGGAGGTTGTAGCTCCCTTGAGGTATGTATTTTGGGGGGTGCTGGGGCTTGAAAGTCCATTCGGAAAGGAAGGGATGATTTTTCTTAACACATCATTTTTCGGTTTTCTTTTCTACCTAACGTCCCTAATCCGTCTTTGCCACATTTTTATATGACATGTATCTCCTCATGTAAAGCTGAGTTGTGGTAATCAAGTAATATATGGTGTTGTATGATCTTTTGAAAACATCTGAGGAGCTTCGTGGTTCAGCTGCACTCTTCGGTTTTCTCTTCTACCTAACGTCCCTAATCCGTCTTTGCCACATTTTTATATGACATGTATCTCCTCATGTAAAGCTGAGTTGTGGTAATCAAGTAATATATGGTGTTGTATGATCTTTTGAAGACATCTGAGGAGCTTTTGTTGTGGTCAATCGTTGTTGCATGTGCCTTCGAGATGAGGAGATGGTGGATCGCCTTTGGCATTGCACCATGGCCAGGGAGGGATTTGATGCTTGATTTGTTGGGTTTCAATGGGTCATGCCCAAGTCCTCCATGAGGCTTGAAGAGATTGTATAGTGGGGGGCCGAGTCCGGGATGTTTGGAGGGTTACGCCTTTGTGTGTCTGGTGGTGTCTTTGGCTTGAAAGAAACAAGAGATTCTTTGAAGGAAAGGAGAATCCTATTTCCTTGCTTATGTTCTATTATTACCACTAATTTTTTGTTGGGAGTTAGGGAGGAATTATAGATCTTTAGAGGAGATTGTAGATTTTTTGGACTCTTCAAAAGCTTAAGTTCCCTATTTGGCCTTGTGTAGTTCCCTTGGGATGCGCTTCGCTTTTGAACTCTTTTTTATAAACTTTTACTTCTAAAAAAAAATAAAAAATTATTGCTGGGGATTTCTTAGCAGGGAGGATCTTCATTCTAGGTTCTAATAGATCAATGCTAAATCCCTACTAAAACTGAAGGGGGTGAATAGATCCTGTGAAAACCTAACTAGCATGAAATGATATTAAAATTTTGATAATATGTAATTAAATAAACCTAGTAAACACATATTTGTGGAATAAAAATAGAACAGAATACAAAATAGAGATCATTCACACGTAAGACCAAAATTATGGGGAAAAAACCATGCCCCAAGCTACGCAGATCAAAGTGTACTACGGATAAAGGTATTACAATCTTAGATATCAGACTATAGGTCCCATGGAACCACCTAAATAACCTCACATTCATACTTAGATTGAATGTTCTACCCCAAATTCCATTTCTCTCGATCTATGAATTTGTTCACCGAAGCAATTTGCTTTTCTTACTACATGATTGAGCTCTACATCTAGCAAATTAACTATCTTGTTTATGTTTATGTTGAATTCTCTGATATTGTTCACAACGATAGATTCAATACTTTGAATAGCCCACTCACCATCCAATGCAGAATGATTTATGATAAAAAGAAATTTGAATACTCTCCATATGTATCTTTGTGATGAAAAGAAAAATATGTGCTCTTGATATGTATCTTTGCTTACATAGAGTTTTTGTCTAAAAGATTGCCGAGTTCAATCCATCAAACTCTAATAGCGAACAAAGATACTTATCGAGAGCATGTATTAAACCATTAAGAAGTCTTTCTTCCATCCCCTGTGATATGTTTAATGTGGTTCCTAGCAGTGTATCTCAATCTCATGATCTTTATCCAATACCAAGACCATTCACTATTGATTTTGAATTTCCTAATGTTCTTTCTTTCAAAATATAGGTCTGCACTCGCTTTATCCATAGAGAAGGGTTCTTACCATCTGTTATAAGCATTTTTCTTTTCTTGATTATCTGTTATAAGCATTTTCTTAGTTTAGTTTCATTTTTTAATTTTCTTAGTTTAGTTTCATTTCTTAGTTCCATTTTTTTTATTTTTTATTTTCAGTGGCAAAAAAATCTGACTGTAGTTAATATTTGGTTTTTGTTATGCAGGTTATAGTGTTATAGCAAGTGTACCGTGTAAATAACAGGGGAGACTATTCTTGGTAGAACTTAAGATCCTCCTTTAGAATAGAATTTGTTTGAAACTGTTTTTGACTGTATATGACAATGCAATTGTATATAGAATAAGGTCGGAGGACTGCTGAAAATATTACCCTTAGTCAAGGAGATGAATTTGTGAAGATTTTCTTAGTTACCATATGTAAACAAAATTACCCAATAATGACCATAAAGTTGGAAAAAGATAAGCTTCTATCTTCTATTTCTGTTCACTCCTTTGGAGGTTTGGCTGCTTCCAGATTCTATATTTTACTAATGGCTTAGTGTTTTCCATGCTCTTTTGGAAGCTGTGCTGGATCTGTCGTTGAGTATTGATTTGCATCTAGACTTTGTTCTGTGGCTTGCTTCTTAGTTAAGAGTGTTATTTATTTATTTTTTTTTGTTTTAAGGCTGTGGCTCAGTGGCTGTAGTGTTGCTCGTTTTCTTTCCTTGTATTTAGTTGGCCTTGCTCAGGCCTTGATGTTTCTTCTAATAAAACTATAATTTACCCGGGAAAAAATGTAATTAACATAAATTCATAGTCTATCTAAAGAAATGTAATTAACATAAATTCAGAGTCCATCTCAATCACCCTAGCTCTTTGCCAAGTTATTTGGATCCGGATCCTCTCCGAGGATCAAAGTTGACGACGTTTTGAAGGATAATTGGCAGTCACTTAAAACTAGTTAAGGTATCATATGCACATTCTTTTAAATATTCTGTTTTGTTTTTAGAATATTAATTTCATTCCCTTTCACAGCAAGCACCACAGCCACCGAGCACCATCCCTCAAACTAAACCAACGTTGATGACAATTAATTGAAAAAAAAATTAGAAGGGCTTTCAACAGACCAATTAGTGGTTTAATATAGGGTAATTTACACAAACCTCCCTTATAGTTTGCCATAAATACACGGATCTTTTCTCTGGTTTGGGAATTTATTCGGACCTCCCCTAAGAATAAAAATATCTTACATGGACCTCCCTTATGTATGAGTCACTAGGGTGGCAATTTGACCTGTCCCGCGATTACCTGCCTCATCCCGTCCCATTTTTAGCAATTTTGGGGGACCGTTTTGCTTATTTGGGTGGGGATGATTTGATGCAATAAAAACCTGAGCAGGTTTGGTGCGGCGGCATGGGTAGGTCGCCCCGCACCGCCCCGCCCCGCCCCGTTTAGATAGACAAATTAGTTAAATACCCTTATTTCATTAATATAAATATTTACCATTATATATTAATTACCCCATATAACAATATTAAAAGGAAAGTTGCAGTGGGGAAGAATTGCAGATGCCCACAATAATTAAATTATGGTTTTAAACGGGGTAGGACGAAGCGGGTACCCGCGGAGTAAAAATGTTAAACAGTTACGGGGATGGGTGAAAAGTTTCCCTGTTTTTGTGGTTTTGGGCGGGGACGGGGGCCGGGTTTTTAAATGGTTACGGGGTCGGGGAGGATACATCTATCTAAACCCGCCCCGGTTGCTATTCCTATGTGTGATGGACAGTTAAATACACTAATGGACTTGTCAAAATTACTAAAATACCCTTCCATTGTTATCTTAAATTACTAAAATACCCAAAAGTCCCTCTGCTTTGTTCAGTCGATATCCTCTCTCTCCTCCACAGATCCATACACACAGGCCACTAGAGAGAGAAATAAAATATATTTGTAGAGAGAGTGGAATACTGTGAATCATTGAGAAGGTGGTGAGTGAAACAGAGGAAGGTGAACAGGCTCGATCTTGAACGACCCTAAGAAGCGATCTAGTCTCGGCCCTGACGGTAGTCACACGTTGTAAATTCCCAAACCACAGAACTTTAGTTGTTTTTCCAGCGACCGAAATTACATCGTTATCGTTGTCGCCGATCGTCGCTGCTAGATCAATCCTCCGATGAAGACCCTCTTGTTGCCACAAATTTCTCTGCACAATTCGCTTCTGATCTTTGATAAAACCACTCAGAATCAATTGGCAAGAGGTCAACAATTACGTGAATTGCTCCAACAATCCCAATCAGCCCCTCTCGCGACCATCGCAAGATCACCGATCTCGCCGCTGCATGAGTGTCCTCAACCGCACCCATCAAATTTGAGATTGAACACACACCAAATGAAGATGGTGGATAATCCATTACCATGAAACAGACAGACCCACAAAGATTTTAAGTGGATTTTTCTGGGACTTTAATGTTTCAGAGATTATCAGAGTTTGCGATATATATTTATCAGGGACATGGATATTATGAAAATTTTAGTAAAATTTGTACATGACGTCAGTAATTTTCATTTTCGTCCTTTTCTTACGTTGAGTCGAGAAGAAGGTATGTATCATTTTCGTCCTTTTCTTACGTTGAGTTAAGAAGAAGGTATGTATAGGATATTTTCATTCTGTGTAAAATTTCAAATTAAAAAGAAGGCCTGCATAATCATAGCAAACTATATATGAGAGATTTATGTAAATTATCACATATTAAAATAGCTTTTACTTTAGAATTGATGTATACAAATTTGATTTCAGAGGCATATCTAGTGGCGATAGTTAAAATACAAAAATACCCTTTACTTTAGTACAAATTACACTCTTCCTCCTCTAAAGACATATTTAAAATAAAATACTGTTACACAAATTTAATTCGAAATGTGTATCTCGAATTTGATGTAACTATAATTGAAAGACTTTTCTATAAAAAATTGGAAATATAGGATAACCCGAGTTTTAATTTGTCAAAGCATCAAATACAATTGAATGGTGTGAATATGAATTAACAGACTTATATGAAAAGGAAAAAAAAAAAATTACGAGGGCATTAATTAAAGGGTAAAGTGTAAAAAAACTCCTTGAATTATGTTTGAATTTGCAAATAATCCTTTTGAACTGTATTTTGTGCGTAAAACCCCCTAAACTATCTCATTTTGTTGCAACATACCCCAATGACTTACTATATTTATTAAATGACCATAATGCTCATTCTTATTGAATTACATTTAATATATTTTTCTTATCTAATAAATTATGAAAAAATTCATAATAATTTGATGATATATTTTTCATTAAATTTGCATAAATTTACTTTTAAATTTTTTTAAAATTAATTAATTTTTATTTTTTTAATGAATATATTACATGAAAAGAAGGTATTTTTTTCAAAAGTATTTTATTAATTTCTCATCAATATATTGTACGAAAAAGATGATATTTTTTTACGATAAAAATGTTTAAATTGGTTATAATACGTTTTATTATAAATAATAAAGTTTTAATAATAAGTTAATCAATTTAGAAAATGGTAGTTACAAATCTATTTATCTATTTTATTTTTTCATTTCTATGAAAAATTAATGCTAAAAATAAAATTAAGTTAAATAGTATAATTAATATTTACATAATAGAAAAGATAATAAAAATAATTTAATAAGAAATAAAAATTTTAATGAGAAAGGGTAATATAGTCTTCAAGGGGGTTATTTGCAAAAAAGCAATAATTTTGGGAGGTTTTTTGTACGTAACCCTCTACTCGATCAACAACTTTTAATATGTGATCCAAATTTGTTCCATGACATGTAACATTCAATCAGTGAGCTAGAGAAGTCTAACAAGGATAGAATTTCTTGCTCCAAAAAAATGAAGTTATTCCCTTTTTTTTCTAAAATCAAATTTCATATTATTTCAAAACTAAATTCTTATCATAACACAATAACAAATTTTATAGTTTTATACCCCAAGTCTAACCCATTGAAGTCCATTTGCAAAAGAACTACACAAACAATAAAGCCAATGCCCCAGACTTATATATGGTGGATGAGGGAATCCTATATTTTCCTATCCCAAACAGGCCCTTAAGATATGGCCAGAAGCAAAGCACCACATACAGGCTACCTATGAACTCCCCTATCCCACACCCATTCCCATCATTACGAACTCGTCGAAACCCTAATAGTCCGGTGGCTAATGCCATCAAGTGCACCAGCAAAACAGTGGTGCCTGGGATGAAAATCGGGGACTCATTGAATGTGTACCTTCCAGCATTGGCATCGACATTGTCATCATCATCTTCGCTACTTGTTTGCTCTTTTTGTGTAACCTCAAGCACCGTCTCCGATAGACCTAAGAGCTTTAGTATAACACTTAACATTCCAAATAACCATGCAGTCATCGCGATCATTCTGCACATTCTCTGGTTATTCCACCATGCGCGAATTGACAGGCCAATTCGAAGATACTCTGGTAGGGTGTAAAGGTTGTAGATGACAAATATCGAAACCGATATCAATATGGCCGATTCTTGAACCTACAGGAACCAATTAAACTTATTGTGTTATTTGAATTTTATACGTATTTTATGTCTAAAGGGTTTGTAGTATAGTGGTACTTTTTATTTGTCCAGAATTTAAGTTCATAAGACAAAGTGAGTGTGTGTCTCAACAAAGAAAAAAAACTAACTTGACAAAAAGACATATTATGTTACCTTCAGTTTTGTGAAAATGGTTGATAAAATTGAGAAGAAAATAACATTTTTTTTTTCAAATAATTAAAATACAGTTTTTGAAAACAAATTTATTTTTCTGATTTAATTGAATTTCAGAAAACAGTATTTAAAAACTATCAACCAAACAAATTTTTAGGCAATTTTCTAATTTGGTTTTTTTATAAATAAAAAGTTATTCTAAGAGAACTAAACCAAAGAAACCTCATTTTGTTGTAGTGTTCGTTAAACTCTATATGCTCGCATGGACGGAGCTATTCAGTCATTGGCCCCACTGATTTATTTATTTTTTAATACCCTTGTAAATTTTTTATTTTGAAACATATACCTATGAAAATTAATATTTGCCTCAACTAAATTTTTTTAAAAATTTGCACTATTGCCCCCACAAATCCACAATGTTGGGAATCTTTAAAGAGAATTTTTTTTTTTTTTTTTTTTTTTTTTTTTTTTTTTTTTTTTTTTTCTAAGGTCGCCCCTCACATAAATTTCTGAATCTGTCCCAATATGATCGGATAATAAATTGATCTAGTGGACAGGTCCAATGAATAATTTATCTATGTTTGGCTGTATTAAATAGAAACCTTAGAATTGGAATTGATAAAATTAGAGAAAAATTTAGTTCAAAATAATAATAATAAAAAAAAATTGAACTATTTTTTTTTTCTTCTAATTCTAATCCCAATGCTCCAACTCCGAATATAGCCTAAATAAATATTGATTAGGGATGAATG